GTGGATTTATACATATCGTTGTCTACGATTACAATTCGTTTGTATTGTGCTAGAAATGTTATTTTTAAAGAAGTAGTGTTACGATAAAGATACTAATTTTGCCGAAAATGTTTTGCGGATCTCTGCTAGTATGTATAATTTGGATGGGAATAACCTTAACAGTGTCATGAAAGAAAGGGATCTGGGTGTAATAGTTGATCAGACTCTGCAGCCATCCAAATAGTGTGCTGTTGCTAGTGGTAGGGCAAACAGGATTTTAGGTTGTATCTACAAAAATATTGAATACAAGTCTAAAGACCACATTTGGAATACTGTGTTCAGTCTTAGGCTCTTTATCTTAGGAAAAACATTGAGTTGTTGAAAAGGATTACTAGAATGGTGCCTGGGATGGAGGGCTTGCCATACAAGAAGAGGTTGAAATCTCTTAAATTGTTTTCTGTTGAAAAAAGAAGAGTTAGGGGGGATATGGTTGAGGTGTTTGAGATTATAAAGGGAATTGATAATGTTGATGCATCATCTTTTTTCATACTTAACAGTAAGACTAGGGGACACAAATATAAATTTTGGCAAGATAGGAGTCATCTTAAGCTAAGACAGTTTTATTTTTCTAACAGGGTGGTTGGCCTTTGGAATGGGTTGCCTTCTGAAGTTATGGAAACAGTAAAGTTGAGTTTGAGGGAAAGCTCGAGCTTTAAGATTTTTTTAAAATTTATTTATTAATAGTTTTAGTTATGAAATGGTGTATTTAAGTGTTTTACACTCACAAAAAATGAAACCTATCATTCTATAGGTATTTGAAGAACTTGTAGCATTCTGCCACAATTTAATTCTTTGTATTGTTAGCCGACACTAGGCAGCTGGTACATAATTGAATAAAGTTGCTTAAACATTTGTTTAACAACAAGTAAGAGCTTGGAATGGTCTATAAAGGCTTGGTATGAAATTTCATCGGTGGTGGTATCTAGGGTCACTAATGAGGAGTAGAATTCTCTAAAACTAGTCTGGCTTACCATTCCAAGCTTTTACTTGTTGTTAAACAAATGTTTAAACAACTTTATTCAGTTTTAGTTTAATTTAGGAGATGGACCAGAAAAAGGAGGTGGAAAATACAAAGTATAATCCCATACTACATTTTTAATGGTCTTCTGATTCAACTTGAATCCTGAAATAAGCCATTTTGTTTTGAGTTCTCCTAACATTAGAATAATAGCAGCTAAGCTTATTCTTGAGTATGCTATACTTATTTTTCTGTGTAATAGACTTATATTTAAAAGTATTATTTAATGTATCATCAAAATCTTTTTTTTTGCTTTTAATCTCATGTTTGTAAAAGCTTTTCTGTCAATTGGTTTATTCCTAAACTTCGTCATCTCTAGACTCTTTGAAAATATATTGACCCTTACCCTGAAAGATGTCACATGGGTACAACCAGTTCATTTGTTGCTTTAAGAATATTTTTGGTAATCTTTCATTTAAACTTTGAACCCCATTAGGTTCATTCCCACATCTTTCCCAAGAAAACACTCAAAAGGGTCCCACATATTTTAATTTCAAAACAAAAAACACTGGTATGCAGATAACCATTTATATTACCTACTATAAAATAAATGCTTGAACCATATCTATATGACAAGACACACCATCAAAATATCTCAAATTATAAATTTTAATAAATGTACACATTTTACACATTACAAATGTAAAATGATGAACAGAAACTTTTTTCTTAGTGTAATACAGATCTTAAAGCAATCATTTATTTTTATCACAGACATTTAGAATGAGGATTAGATTTTAAAGGTGATTTGAGATCTGACTGGGACTCGTCATAATTAATGGTAACTACATTACATTAGGAACTGAATATTCATGTACATGTAAATTATCTGTCTAGTTCAGATGAAGAACTCAAGAACTTTTCATTTAATGATCCTGATAACACCTATGTAACTTGAGATAGTGGTTTAGATATTAGTAATTTCAAGAAGCCATTAAATGAAACTTTCATTCAGGAAAACAAGTTTGTTTTTTGTTGTTGTTTTTTCAAAATTTATATATTTGTTGAAAATAATGATTGTAAACTCTTGAAAACTTTTTGGTGTTTTGCCTTATGACCCCCATTTGAAAAAAGTATACAAGTGTGATATGAAAGTATTGTTGTAAGTTATATAAGAATGTGTTAGGAATTTAAAAGAAGACTATAACCATAAGGGCACAAACTGAGAAGTGAAACCTGCTATGACAAACAGAAAGAGTTAGAACATTTAAGGAAGAAGGGGACAGAAAATTTGATGAAAGATATAGAAAAATAGAAGCCCAATAAGAAATTTCCATAAAATAAAAGATCAAGAAGAAAATTATGTACTTAAAGAAGATTGCCAAAACTGTTGGAGATGTACAGAGAGATTAAAAGAAAAATATAAAAGAAGTATGGAAAGGCTATAAAGACAAAATCGACGAAGTAGAAAAGAATATCAACTACAGAATAAAAGATATAGAAATTGAGTTATTAAATACAAAGATTAAGCCAGTCACACTTTTTCTGCATTGGCTCAAGAGTTCTAACCAAAAATACCATATACTACAAAATACAGAATAGGAGAACTTATATGGTCTACACCTATTACCACTACTGCTGTGCTACCTTTTACTGAAGGACCTTCCTGGACTGCTCCAGCTTTTACCAAATTCAGTTCTAGAATTTAGCTAGTTAATCAAAAAAACATCTGACTTCAATGGGGAGATACCATGGCATTCATACCAAGCTCAGTTGGAAACAATTTCTGGAGTGAACGGGTGGAATAATGAATGAAAAGCCATCTATCTTGCTACCCATCTAAAAGGACCAGAAAAAAAAACAACACAACATTAGATAATCTTCCAGCTGAGAACTAACAACTATCAAGCATCAGTAGCTGCCTTATCCAATAGGTTTGGAGTGTAGCACCAGAAAACATTATCCAGAATTTTTTTATGGAAAAACCTTGCAATGTGATGAATGACTGGTTCAACAGCTACAACTGTTCATCCCAATTTGTTAATGGAAGATGGAATTTGCCTCCAGAGATGAAGAAAGAAGAGGTATTGATGCAAACAGCAGGCAGACATAAAATATCCAGCAAGAGGGAAACATTAAGCTTCTCTGTGCCTCATGATGTGTGGATAATTGACATCAAGGAAGAATGCATTTTGGGAAGACATGAATGCAAGGTTAGGCTAACTTCAGATATCTCCGTAGTCTATTACTAGGAAATCCC